ATCATCCGGACGTTGTTCTTATATGCTGTTGGATAACACGTATTCTTTTCTCGTCACAAATTTCAAATATGCCTTCTCATTCTTTTCTGTAAAATTCCTAACCTACGGTATGGCTGCGCCCACAAATACATGCGCGAAAAAAATGAAAGAATTTTCATAATGTCATAGCTTGCCAACTCACACAATATAAAACAATGTTTATCGCATATATATATATATATATATATATATATATATATATATATATATATATATATATATACACTACAGTTCAAAAGTTTGAGGACACCCATAGTAATTTTATTTAAATTGGCCCCCCATATTAGTTGTTTTGTACTTTAAATAATACAAAATTATTATCCATAGTAAAAACAAAAAAAAGTGAGACATGATTTTTTTTTTATTAGAAATTTTATTATGACAAAAGGAAAAAAGAAGCATTTTATGATTAAATTTTGTTCTCGTCACAGAAATAAAATTGATCTGTAACAGTCAAAACATGAAGGGAAACTAACAACACTAGAAACAAAACAGCCTTGAAAATGTCTAAAGAAATGGTCGAAAGCTCTTGGGACAATGGACATTATGGAAAATTTTTGTACTCCTTTATTCCCACCAAACGGAAAAACGTAAGAACACTGGGAAAACTAAATAAAAAATTGATTAATTTTTCCTCGTCTACCATCTTTAATGAACGATGTTTAATAGAAAGTTTTATGCCAATTTTTTTTTTTTTCAAAAATTTAAAAATAAATATAACTAATAATAATTTTTATCTATCATAATTTTACACAAATCCCACCACACGTATATACATACATGCGAGGAAATGTTTTTCAGCGGAAAATACATAATATGACATGTATACATTCACGAGACATTAACGAGACATTTCCGCCACACTTCCAATGCTTAAATTTCAACATTTCAACATACAAATGCGTAAGTATAGATATAACACCACCCGTATACATATATGTGTCATATCCGAAACTGCCCACATATGTTTATATATGTATGAGTCCCGACAGACGACCAAGTATCTATATGTGTCTGCATACATCGATGTTTGCGTTAGTACGATGAATGACAAAACGACGAAGTTTCCCCCACCCCTTCCATAATATCACCAATACACGAAATCTACATAAACCCAAATTTTCTAAAGCATTAATCAGTTTGTCTGACGATCGCTAAAGCGTGAAACCCAGGGTCACAAACTCACATCTATCCAACCAAATATATATATATATATATATATATATATATATATATATATTTGTATATTTAGGCAGCAATCCTTCCTTTATGCATGTTTCATTAAAAACGACAGACAAGATACAACGGTTAAGCTTTTTTAATAATGTCATTCGAACAAGAGCTTTCTTTTCTGGACAAAGGGTGTGTAAGAACTGCCCAAATGTTTTATATTTCCGAGCACTTTCGGCTATACCTTTAGCCATTATCAAGGATGATTCGATTTTTCAGCTTAATTGAGTGTGTGCATTATGTGTATGTTTTAGTGTGTTGTAGAGATGTTTTAGTGTGTTGTAGAGATGTTTTAGTTTCCGAATACGGTTCGCACATTGTGGCCTTGTTCGTAGTTAATATCGTTAAGATTTTGGCTTTTTCTTTTTATTATTAAAGCTTCCATTATTTTTTTTTTTTAAATAATGGAAGCTTTTATATATATATATATATATATATATATATATATATATATATATATATATATTATTTGTCCGACAGATTACAGCGGGCTCGCAAGCGGACATCCAACATTTTTGACATTTAATAACCCATAGAAGTGTTGATATGCCGTGAACTGAAATCGGTTGATTTCCTTTGCCGGCATATCAACCTCTACGGCTTCTTTAATGCCAAAATCCAAGTATTTTGAACGTAATTTTATTTTTTTCAACTACAGATTATTTTCTGTCTATATTTGAAGAGATGAAGCCTTGTGATAATTTACATCTCATCTTTATTGTCATGTTCACGACGTTTAGAACAATCTACTTCGGTGAGCGAAATAAAGGGTTCAGTTCGAAATTGGAATCACCTGAAGAAGACCGGAGAAGTCAACGGCCGAGACGTAGAAAACAGTCCGAACAATATAAATAATGTAAATAATAACAGATATTTTATACATCATTTTTATACTTTCAATATAAAAGGTATATTTTTTTTTTTGGATATATATTTTGTAGATCATAAAATACATTGTTGGTAATTTTACTATAAAAAATATACTGTGGATTTTTGTTTAAGGATTCGCTATTTTCTCATAGCGGAGACCCCCTAACACGAGCTACCACCCCGCGTTACGGTGGACCTGGGAACAACACCAGTTAAGAGGTGGTTTCAGGCTCCTCGCAACCTCCAATCTCCCAATCAGAGGCCATACTGCCGGATGTAGTTTATCGTCATACCCTGGATGACTCCAGAAGGGGAGTTACTGCCTAGGTGAAGGGATGCACCCCCCCACTGGGGCTTGGGCTAATATTAATATGAGTGTGAGCATGAAACAGACTGTCACTTCTGGGTTTTGATTTCAATGTTCATTTTATATTTACATAAGCTCTATCCTGATATTGAGCACTTTAACATATGATTATCACATACCTTAAAACTATATTTTTTTATATATATATATATATATATATATATATATATATATTCAGCATTATATATATATATATATATATATATATATATATATACATTAAAATTGGACAAAGTCCGACAATTTATTAAAGATTTTTTTTTATGTTTATATATATATATATATATATATATATATATATATATATATATATATATTGCTCAAAAACTTGTATAAAAATATGTGAATTTTAAACCATTTTCTTTTATGCTTGGAAATGTGATCTAAGGAACCAGGAAGAAAATCCCATTCCTGGGGAAATAAATTATAATCTATGGACACTTAAGGTTGACTTTTTTTTTTTAATTTAACTAATATTCGCTCTGTTTTTGATAGTGAGCTCTCTTGATTACATCCACCTTGGGGTTATCCATACGGATTACCCAACATTTCATTACCTAAGGATATATATATATATATATATATATATATATATATATATATATATATATATATATATATATATATATTACAATGAATCATTCACACAAAAAGTAGATTAGTAAAATTAATGATATAAAATGGCGAAATCCCTTCGCAAACAAAATTTTAAAGGTGCATTAACCTACAAATCACTCGATGAATGTTGTGATCCTTGTGTTTAATAGCTACAAGTTGTATAATGTCTTTTTTTTAAAATCTGCTAGTACTTTCAACTGTACACTCAGTCATCCTCAGGTATGGAAATTATTTTGTTTTTAGTAAAATTCAGGTAGTAGCGGAGACGAAAGATTAAATGCGAATCGAAATATGTTTTTTTTTTTTAGAAATGTGTTATTGTTAATCGATAAAAATTTTTGGAGCGTGCAGTCGCAACGCTAAGGTTGCATTTTTTTTTTTGAAAAATTAAGAGAGTGCGTTTTTTTATTAATATGATATCATATTAAACAAAAAAAAATTCTCGAATTACCATTATCAAATTATTTAATGTGTTTATTATATACATCTGTCATTATACATAGCAGTATCCGTCAATGAATTAATATCCCAAAAAGAGTTTGAAATTTTCATTTTCAAACTTATTTAATGTGTTTATTATTTTCATTTAAATACCTATCATTAGACACAGCACAAGGCCTCAAAGCAGCGTCACAAAGAGACTCTGACATTTTAGAATTTTCATTTTCAGAGAATTCACTGGAGGTGTTTTGTTTTTAGTTTCACTTAAATATCTATCATTAGATTTTGCAATAAACCATAATATGCCACAGAGGGTGTCTGGAATTTTAGAATTTTCGTTTTCAAAAAAGTCACTTGAAGTTTTATCAGGACAAAAACAATATAAATCCCAGACAGAACTAATAACAGACTGATAGTTCCACCATTCAGCACCATGATCCCAGAAATTAGTATTTTGCTTAAAATGATAAGCTAACTCAACGAAATCTCCCAGTACACCACAAAGACAATCTCCTTCACAAGCTGTATCTTTTTCTTTTATATTCAAATATCTATCGATGATAATATATTTGATCCATTATGCGTTATACATTATCTGGCCACGCAAAAAAAAAACTTCTTCCTGTAAAGAGAAAAGGTATTTTTGTACATTTTCTTTGGCCTTCATAAAATTCATAGAAGATTCAATTTTACACTTGTATCGTGAACGTCTTGGGTACCTGAAGACAGTCTAATGGTTAGCAAGCCTGTCTCGCTAGAATAATCACGACTGAATAGTGAGTTCGATCCTCATGGGTGCTCCATACTTTCGGCCTTGTGCCACATCTAAGCTGTGCTTAGAAAATCACTTGGGCATCTCGACGTGGTGTAATGGTTAGCAAGCTTGTCTTGCTAGAACAATTACGACTGAGTGGTGAGTTCGATCCTCACTGGGTGCTCCATACTTTCGGCCTTGTGCCACATCTAAGCTACGCTTGGAAAATCATTCTCGAGGACGTTTTTCTTTAATCTATATATGTCGTCCATTTTAGTTTGCAAAATTAACGCCCAGTTAGCTCTGAATTTATAGTAACAAGTTTTTTTCAAGAAAATATAAGGCAGAATCTTACACATAAAATTCTTCGGCTAGTTTTTTCAAGTTAACCCACAGTTAACGTTTAGTCTCAATAATGAAATTATATTAAGAAATAGTTAAGAAAATAAAGTCAGAATTTTTTTCTCATGAAATTCTCCCGCTTCGTTTTTTAACGTTAAGGCCACGCTTAATTTTTACTGACTTCAGTTTTAATACTGAATTCAGATTATGATCTTTTTTACCAGAAAATAAACGTCAGAATTTTACTTTTAAAATTCTACGGTTTAGTTTTTCAAATTAACAAACGGATTGATTAACACATTTAAGTTGTTCCAGTTTTAATACTGAATTCATATTAAG